CCAGCTACACCAGCTACACCAGCTACACCAGCTACATCAGCTATATCAGCTATATCAGCTGCAGCAACTGATGCCTCTGATGTTTCTGCAAGCGAAGAAGAAGGCAGAAATGGCCTAGTTATGGATATGGAAACGAAAAGTCCAGGAAGTCCCGGATGCTCCGTTACACAAGTTGCGATACCATCTGAGCCTGCTCCGCCCTATATCATCGATCTCACTGGGGAGGATGAGCCATCCGATGGCATCCCCGCCTCAAAGCCTAAGAATGACGGCCGATTGAAACGCAAGTATGGCCACGAGAACTGGTATAGCGAACATCTTTCATTGTCCCAGGCTCGAAAGAGGTCAAGGGCAGAAAGGAAGCTCGAAGAGGATGAGCTTCGGTTGAGAGCAAAGGAGATAGTATGGGAAAGGGGACAGGAAAGAAGCCATCAGACGGCTTATCGAGATGGCCATAAGTGGTCATCTGAGGAGTTCTTGCAGGACCCAGAGTGCATCATCGAGATGGAGGTCATAGTGAATAATGGGAACAACCAAACGCTTTGGCTCTCTAAGACTGGACAAACAGACGGACAGGGTATGGTGTGGGAAGGTGATGACGCTCTCGGTATCTACAAAGTCTCGTTGACAAGTAAGGATATTGAGTCTATGGTAGGCACGGATTATGTGACAGTCATTAAGAAGTACAAGTATATAGAGAGAGACATCTAGATATGGATTTCGTACTCCACGAGCAGAATTGATAACGCTTCCAAATCAAAGCTCTCGCCCAATTCAACGTTCAAGAACGGCACAAAGTCCAGCTCAATCCCATCGTCTAACTCTGTGGATTCTATCCCTCATTAATAATGTCATGGGCTAGCTGATGCAATACGACGTACCACTTTCGGATAGCGACTCACTGTCCGACAGTTCCGGAAGGCTATCTGAGTCTGAGAATCGCTCTAATTCGCATGTCTGTACAACCGGGCAGCCTACCGACCTGTCGCCACCATGAGTGGGCTCATAGTCGAGTAACGCCTGTAGTGTTTCAGCAGATGCTGGATCGCTGTCCATATCGATATAGCCAGGACTGAGAAAAGGCCAGAGGTCTTTCAAGACGCACAACAAACCATCCGGAAGTTTGGAGCTTGAAATGGATTGCATGATGAGCCTTGAGTTACCAGTAATAAGAAGGCGCGGATCGTGCTAAGATGTCTTTCGAAAAATGTTAAGATCCTGTAACGCTTGATGCTGGTAAACTCAAGGATGAGAATGCAGAATTAGGTGGGATATATTTACTGGTAAGGAATTGGGTCAAATTTAGCACTTACATGTTTACCGGTATGCCACGTTCAACAGTCACATGTATACTGGTAAGCCAGTTTTAGTGCCTTCCTGTATACTAGTAAACCACAGGTCAAACTACGGTATATACTGGTAAACTAGAGGCTCGCAGTTGAATGTGACCAGTAACGTTCGTGTGGGGCCTATGTATTTACCAGTAAGTCTAGTCTTGGCCTTACTGGTAACTTATACCTACTGGCAACTGTAGTACTGAAGTTGCCAGTACATGATCGCTACCAGCAACGGTGGTCACGGTGATACTAGTAGGCAACAGTCACTGGTACCGGATCACCCGTGATTACTAGTACCCCCCAGCAGGCAAAGAGCTTGTTACTGGTACACCTGTAGATAGACGCCTGCCTTGACTAGTAACAAACAACCCTGTAATACAGTGTTGCCAGTATTCGACCAAGGGTCAAGTACCGGTGGCTGGTAAGAACTAGATTTAGCATCGGAAGCAATGGCGCCACGTGAAAACATGATACTAGTAACGCGATATTTAACCTACTTAATTTATTTTATTTCTAGTAACAACTAAGGAGAATTTATATCCGTCTTATCTCACTACCCCCTGACTTACTGGTATCTACAATTATGCTTCTTGAGCTCAACCATGGTTGGCGAACCTGGGTGCCAAATTGACGTCCGTCTCTCGGCGGACATATCCACCTGGTACACGCTATATTGGAATTGGCCGGGTGTACTAGTTGCATGGATGTTGAAGTTCTCCCAGGTCATAATCGTGGAGATACGGTATTCGTGGAAGGACAGGACCTAAACTTTGCTGCGATTAAAGAACAGCTCTCTGTATTGTAGACACATGAGTAAGTCAGGAGCAACGGAGAATGGGGAAAACTTTAAGAACAACTTCTAATGGGAGGGCGTTTGACCCTGAAAACTCCTCCGCTCAGTCACTAAAGACTGAGCCAATAACACGTGTGCATTACCCGCGGAGTGCCGAGAAGGAGGCCGGTGATATCCCCACTTTTTCCGTGCTGACCGTTGCCGATCACCGGCAGGTGGGTCCTTGGCAGACGGCGAGATCTTTGGTGAGGCATGAATTTTACCACTGTCGATTATCAGACCCTCAGCAGCATAAATACCTTCCGATCTTTCTAGTTCAAAGGCTCCTGCATCCACCGATATCAGGACTTGCAATGCCTACAAACAACAATTACGAACCTGCTGCCATCTTGTTTCCTCTTCTTAACCTCTCCCCCGAGATCGTGGGCATGGTCATAGAGGAGGTTGACGACATGCAGACATTTATCTCTATCTCTCAAACATGTTCATCTCTCAGAAGCATATGCCGCAATAAGCGGACCGTGCAAAACCTTTTTGCTTCCTTCCATAGCGGCCACAAACCAGAGCAGCAGGCCGCGAAGATCTATACCAACCTCAAGTTTGCCGCCCGCTGTCCCTTCCTTTCACCAACTTCTGTTGAGAATGCTTTTAGAGAGGCATGGCCTGTATTTATGGGTTTACAGATGGAAGAATTACTCTATCCTGTCGCCATGGCTCTTGCCAACCACTATTTCTCACTTGGTCTTGCAAAAGAGGGAAAGCTCTTTTTGGAGAGGATTTGGAACTTTCATGAACCATATGAACTTGAGATATCTCGCATGATTGCTCCAGGGCTGCTGCCTATCGCAAAACGTTTACGCCAGCTGACTGGTGGGAAAGGTTTAGCCTACCAAGTCATACAAACAAGGATTTCTCTGCTTGAGCAGTTTGAGAAGGCTAGGAAGCCATACTTTATGTTAGTCCGCAACCAAAAGATCTCATGGCAATTGTGGAATGAATGCCCGTTGGAGTCGGTCGCAGCATTCTTCCCGCCTACTCACGTGCGTTCTGCGAAGCTTTCATTCGCTATTGAGGGAAGGACACTGTTGCAAGCACCAATTGGTTTGGAGTAGTTTATCACTTTTCGTACAAGACAAATGCAATCGTTGAGGCTCTTAGAGATCAGCTGCCGTGCAGCTAATTCTAACAACTGACTGTGGGGCTATGTTTGCCTATAAAATCCCGTGGTACCCCTCTGTGCCCATCAGACTGATCCAGTACCCAAAATGTCGCAAGAGATTATACTCAACATCAGTGACCCTCAAGCCATGGGGGTACACATGAAAACGCTGATCGATCTTTGGATCGAGCTTGGATTGACGAGTGAGCAATCTCTAGCCCTTGAATCCACCAAAACTACGACCAAAGACTTGGACATTCAGTTTTTTCAAGCTCTCGCGCATGAGAAATCTTGGTACGACACAGTTTACTCTAACATTTTGTTGAACTTGAAGAATTGGGAAGAGTTACCCGCATGGCATGAGGTCTGCTTACTGAAGGGTTACTTTGATCGTTTCCCAAAATTGGCTCAGTCTCTAAGTGCATCAACCAAAAGATCTACCTTGATAATGATCAAGGCTTTCTCGCAAGTAGGTCAATACCCCGGGTCTCCAACGTCCTTCCAAATTAACACGAGGTCAGGACTTATATATGAGGCTATCTTCAGTTTGTAGCCCTGGAAACCTCAATGATTACTTCTCTAGGACCTCCAGATGGTACCAAGCGAAGTTCCATCAATACCAGGACAGGCAATTCTCAAAACTCTACAGCCATGAGCACTCGGTCAATGCCTCCCTCGCATCAGGTGAATCGCTATACATTGTCGTGGCCGAGGATGTATATCCGCCAGCATGGATTCAAGCCATGAAAGCTTGGGGAAGTTACGGAGAATAGCTCGGCGACGGGGTGCTGCCCTGCAGTCGCCGTTCAGAAAGCATGTACTTGTAAAGCTCTGAGTCAATGGCTAGAATCAATTTCAGTACTATCTGTTTCTAGCCTTCATGTGCCAAAACTAATCTTGTATCTTTTTCCTACTGTCCATCTCCTGCGCATCGGCATTCCCTTTAAATTCGGCGGAATAGTCCTTCCAGGGAAGAGAGGGGCATGTTGGAGTGACTGGCGCATCGGGTGAATGTAACTCGTCTGCATCCTGTGATCGAATTGTTAGAACTGGCGACTGGCTGCGGGTTGTATATCGTACGAGATGTTTGAGTATGTCTGCCACGCCTTGGAGGAGACCTCTAGCCTTCGCGGATGCCTTTGCTATCTCGAAACGGATAGCAATGAGGCTGTTATGTAGCTGCAGGAGTTCTTCCTGGAGGACAGCCAGCTCTTCGCTCATGTTTTCGTCCATATTGGCCATTGGAAAATATTGTAGAGATATCGCTTTGCTTGTTATCATATGAGGGTCGTACCACTTCTACTTAAGCATAGTGCCTCCGCCTTCCAGATCACCACCTCCGTCTCGGGGGCTCGTGCCAGCGCTTATGCTGGGTCCTCATAGGCTGTACAATCCGTTAGGTAGCTCCACTCCGAAGGTGACGATAACCCCGCCCCGGCCCGGGGCACGAAGTTAAAGTGGGGCCATCGGCCGCACAGAGACAACCCCCGAACTGAGATGTCTTCTTAAATTTAACACTGCGGCAACTTTTTACTGAATCTGTTTTAATTGGCACTAAAACTAAGTCAGGTGGTATAATTGCACATCTTTTCAATCACACATGGTGTGTTTGTCCGTCAGAATCACACCCACCAATTCCATGCCCATTAGCTTCCAACTTTTTCTATACATTCGGAACCTCAGCATTCCTGCCAATATGCCTCGTCAATCCCACCTCCAAAAAGCCATGAATAAACTCAACATGGATGATTCGATGGCGCTCATGAATGCTTTTGCTGGAGATGCTACTGTTGCCCGATGCCATCATGTTCGGACAAACCCTCTAAACTATTTATCCAAAACCTTCAAATATGCTGTCACGCTTCTGTCTGTCATGTTTGACACTGGGTGTGTCATTAGTGGCTCTCGAGCCTTGGACTTCTTCGTGCCGGGGTCTGCCAACGGCGACTCCGACTGGGACTTTTACGTTCCAGGCTACAAAGAATCGGTGGCCGACATGATGAGCATCTTGTCCATGTGCGGAGTCGTCTGGGAACTCAACGCCGATCTCATTTCCAGCGAGTTTCTGCGCCACGGGCGAGTGGAGGTTCATTCCAGCGCTCTAGAGGCTTTCTCATCCTGGGTATCACCTGGAATAAAGTCGGGAATATTGAACGAGACGGTCTATGAAATTGTCGCAGAATTTATAAGAATTAGAAACGACCTCCCCCAAGCAGGCACATACATCATCTCGCGGGGTCATTGCAACGATATTCTTATTGAGCCGAACTTGGATAAAGGTTGTTATACTGATGGGCTGACGGGCTATGAAACTTCATCAGGAGAACCGTTTAGCATGATATGCGGGTCTATCCAAACACCGCAAGGCGTACAGTCCGTGCAGCTTATCATAGGATGTCACTACCATGGCATCCGTAGCTGCTTGAGTTTCATCAAAGACTTCTATGCAAGTCATGTTCAGTGTTTCATTGGAGGGTGGTGCGCCGCTCATATGTACTACTATCACGCAAGCACCCGAAATGCCACCGTATGGGGGGGCACGCGCACCATGGCGATCGAGAAGGCGATCGAGAAGTATAGCGATCGCGCCTTTTCTTTTCATGATGCTGCATATACCGAGCCCACCATCCGTCGATTTGATGACATCCAGTCGATGTTCTTAGACTATGGAGACGTTCATAGATCGTTCTTACGCAAATCTAACCTCGACATGTTCGATAAATGGATCTCTGAGCGGCGGCAGAATATTGAAGCCATTCATTGGGTAGAGTTTGGCAATGTGATCCAAGAAATACACAGCCCGTTTGAGAGGTGCTCTAGAGGTCGAACTTCGTTCTCTGAGGCGAAGTACAAGTTGCCAATGCGCCATCTACGGCGCTTGGCCGACATCATCACTCTCAACACAGCTAATTCCGACAGGATGAGAACCAAAGAGTTCTTTAGTAGTGTGAGAAAGACTATTTCTGGGATTGATTGGCACATTTCGGATGTGGCCAATTCTGGATCTGTCTTCAATGCACTTCACGATGCAAACCCATGGTCTTGGGCCATGTAGAGCATATATAATGTAGCTATATTCATTCCCTAGTAATCAAAGAATGCGATTCAAAACACTCCATCTAAAAGTTCGACCCAATTAGAGTTAAGACTCGATGCAGGAACGTTACCCTTCTGATTCAATCTCATAACCCAGCTATTGATGACGTCTAACCACTCGCTGGGGTAAATGCATTGACCACCAGGCGTCATTTCCTCAAATCCGAACTCAACAGCAGATGCCACATGTTCCTCGACAAAATCGAGCAAAGGATCACTGCAGAAATGGGTGATAGTTTTCAGTTTTTCTGCGAATATGTAACGCAGTGATATTTCGCTTGTCCGCAGGCGCCGAGCCTCCCCATCTAGGTGCCTCTGGCTGTAGGCAGAGAATCTTTCCCGATACCAGATGGGCTCTTGGTCGAACCTAATGAGTTTTCCATCGCTCTGTACCGGAGGATCATGCTTTGGGCGCTGAGATTGTAGTAGTTAGCCACTAGCACTAGCTACATGTCAAAGTTCTTGTACTGACCCTTGCTGCGTCGGCTGGCAGTATCTGCGTGATGATGATCAGATTTCTCTTCAACAGTGGTTCGAAAGATCCAGCGAACGTATGTTGGTCTGTAGAGGATTGAAATAGGCGTTTCAATAGGCAGACCTCATGCCAGGCGGGTATTTCTTCCCAGAACTCCAGTGAATTGATGATGCTAGGCATTTGTTGCAGAAATTCATCGTCAGAAGGCATGAGGCTCCGAAGAAAGTGAGTATCGAGTGACTCAGTCAACACCCCGACGCTGTAAAGAGTGTCAAACTTGTCAAACGATAGCCCTTTCTCAACCCAGAGAGAGATCAAACCCTCCATCCAAATGCCAGAGACATTAGGATCAATTTCATCAAGAACAAAGTCGATAGTCATGGTAGAACAGACAGATGCAAAGTTCAGAAAAAGAGCGAGAGGGCGCATCAAGTCATCGGTGGCCGGGCTCTCAATACCTCGGAATTAGTTCGCATATCTTAAAAGACACTTATCAACTTTGGAGGGTTGCTCATTTACCGACAGAGTGGTTCGCCCTTGTCACCTACCACCACCGTTACAGCGCTAAGAAGCACCTGACTCTAAGTGTATGCATGTCGAGCCATAAGCGACGAAGAATTCCCACTGTGTTGCGGGAGCTGGCCGAAAGTGGATTCACCTAGCTCTCAATCTAAACCGAAATGAGAGTCTTCTAACCCCGCGGCTATTATTTGAGGCATGGGGGAGAAGCAATGTTTTTTAGTTTTGACAAAACCATCACCACTTATCATGAGCTCTTCCGATCCTTTCAGCCAAGACCCTTCTAACTCTTGCTCTTGCGCAGCATCGTCAATGCTGCCTGAAGAGCGACGACGCAGCGGTCGCACAAGAATGGCACTTCTAGCTTGCCAAAGCCGTCTTGCATTTCTGGAGGCTATGGTTGCAGACATGGAGTCGCAAAACGGTCAATTGCGCTCCGAGAACCAGCGTCTCATATTGGTCTTACGTCACCTGGTGAGTACTAAGTGTAACAGTTGCGCGAGTCCACTCTAAATTAGGTTAACGTACAGGTGCCATGGGCTCGTATCGAAGCCCCCACAACGGAGCAGCGGGAAGACGCCTCAGCCCTTCGGTTAGAGGCCAATGAGAGCTCGGGCGCGGAGTAGGGCCGCTCAATGCGCCATGATCAACAGCTGGCTGCCTTACAAGGATGGAGTGGAACATCTAGATTGTGTGCTGCATCATGTAACATCTTGGAATCACTTTCTAAATCCAGTTAGATGAATCCCGACAGTCTGGTTCACGCTAAGAATTGGCAAATGACAGTTGACAAGCTCCATAGTATTATTAACTATAATCCATGCATGCATTTCAACCTGCAGCCAACAGAGTGTAGAATTCAAGATAACAAACCAACAAACCATCCAATTTGATCTTCCAGAGCAATTAATCCCTCAACACAATAAAAATGCCTTGCTCACAGAGAACCCCTGGCATTCCGGAACCTTAGCAGCCAATCACAGCGCATCGTCGCTATCTGGGGTCATCCTGCGCTTTGATGCTACATTGCTTCTGCGCTTCACTCCCCCATTGTTCTTGTTTCGACGAGTCACGCCGCGTCGCTTTGTTGACTGAATGTAGTTACTGCCAAGACTAGTTTCTTCTCCGTCGCAGAACAACTTGCGCTTGATTCCCCTGCCCGTCTGTGGTGTGATGACAGGGGAGGGAAGCCTCAATGGTGACGGTGATCGGGTCGGCTCTTCATGAAGAGCAGTCATGTCGAGTTCTTTGATAGTCCTTTCCCACTCCATCTGAGCTTCAAGGGGGGAGCTCAAGGCATGGTGGATCTGGTAGCTTGCGCTGTGCTCATTCAGGATCAGAATGAACTCATGTTGACCATTCGCCAGTAGCTGAAGTTCCGTGTGAATACTTCTCCAGGGGAAGCAGGCCTCTCGAATTCCAGGTAGAAATGTCATGCTGACTGCCGGGAACTGCAAGGCATCGACGATCTCCGGCTTTGGGTCAATGGACATATCGCCCAGAGACAAGCGGAACCAATATCGAATGTTGCCATCATCGTCTGAGAATGACTCATAGCGACTGACGATGTTTCCGTGATGATCCTTGCAGTTGAGTGAGGCATAGATGCCTTGAATGCCGGTGGAGGCTGGGTCGGTAACTCTACATGTAATAGATGCCATGATTGCTGAAGTCCAAACTTTGCTTGATTGTCGAGCTAACTGTTACAAACAGAGATGGCTATATAATCTCTTGACTACATTTAATACCTCAAAGCAAGCACTGCGTTCTCAGTTGTTAAATTTAACAATGCACAAGACCAGAACTTCGTTTGTGTCCCACCTCATGTCATTGGTACAATAAGCGCTCGGGCTGATTCTGGGGTCCGGGACCTTCTGAAGTCCGCTATCCTATCTTGGGTTACTGGATCATCAACTTGTGCACAGACCCCAAATCTCATGACAAATGTCCAGTCTACAAGGGTTGCTACAAATCAGCCTAAAAAGAATCTAAGTTCATCACTGTAAGATACTGTTGATCTTATGCAATAAAGGAAATTTATTAACTTGAATGCCAACAATGATTCCGCTCGCAAGTGGGCCCCAATGGATTTATCCTCGCTGATCCTCCATACCCCTTGTCTTAACCTTCCAGACTACCCTTGCTCTGATGCTCTTTTTATCTACTGTACATACGTTACATGCTTCAAAACCCCTGTAAGATGGCATGACTCGCACGAACGTTGAATCACGTGCTCTGCTCTGCCTCAGCATCCCCTTCGACGTACCAGCCCAGTAAATGGTTGACCAGTTCCCGGGAGAAAACCTTGAGGCTTTTGCGCAAGTTGTCAATGGTTTCTCGGAACTCTTCCGTTGCGCTTAGAAGCTTCGGCAATGCTCGGTCAATGTTGAAACCAATTTGGTTGATTTGGCAATTGCCATCTGACACTGCACGCTCAAGATCTTCGATACGAGTGGCCAGGTTTTGGAGCAACCTGATCCTGTTAACACTTCCGACCTTTCCGGCATCAGTAAACTTACTTCTTTATCTCCTCCGCTTCCGTAGGGGGGTCTGCAAATTGGACATGGTTGTCCGGCGTCCTCAACCCTTGGTCGGCAGGAGGCTGCGTGGTGGCTGGGGCAACTGACATGGTTGCAAAATCCTGTGGGTTGTCCAGAAGACATTGGATGGTGTTATCATCAAAGTCGAGTTGGGTAAGGCTTGAGAAATCTGCAGGATCAACAGCCTGCGAGAAGTCGTAGAGGAAGGTATCGTCAAAAGTGGTATCCATGATGAGAGAAGTGGTTGGCATGCAACGGAAAGTGATGAACGAGTTGGATACTCATTCTTAAAGTATCGAGAGGAAGCGCTGGTTCATTAATACGACTATTAAGACACGAAAAATGATACTTAGCATATTAAAATTAAAGGGAAGGGGATTAAAAATAGTAGACGCGCGCATACATAAACGCCGAACTCCAGGGCCTTCTCAAGTTCTCAGCCCTCTACAAACTTCATTCCAACAAAATGCTTACAAAGGTTCATTTCTCAGTTGTGATCTCCCTGGTCCATGGTGCTTTAGCGCTTTCCATGGGTTACCCCTTGTGTATTACGGAGCCCGCCCTCTCTCTTGAAGCAGGGAAGTCATCACTCTCCGCCAAGTAAGTCTCTTTGTCACTGCTCGCAAGCACTTACTAACCCTCGAACAGTGTCCACTCATCAATGGAACAACGTTGTGAGGCTACTCTGCACTTTTCTGACCCCTCGTTTCTTCCAATTCGCTATTCTTTCGACGATGAATTGGAATGTGATGGTAAACAAGTTCTGGCCTTCACAATCCCGAAAGGATCACCCAACGGTGACGTTGACATTATCTGGTGGGTAKTATAGTGCTTGCATAGCGTCGGCGGCTAACATACTCTAGGCAATGCACTGGCCTCGCCCCCAGCTGCAGTCATGGTGTCATTTTTGGCGGGAGTGCAGACCTGTCCATCGCATCTGAGTCTACAGGGGATGT